TAGGTTTGTGATTCCATCTCACATGTGTCTTGTCACTTCCGATTTCAAACAGCACCAACTATATTGAGGCAACGATTGATTTAAAGCCAGATTTTATCCAACCTTTTGAGACGTTCACAGAATCATGACCGGGTGTGACGGACTCGAAGAACAGTTTTACGTCGGACCCAGGGCGAGAGGTTTTTTGCTCCGAAGATTCCTTACTCTGAGTTCAACATCGTGGATGCGGAGAAAATAGACATCTAAAGAAGAATGTTGCGGTGCTCACATAGGTCAACTATTCAGCCCCGGTTACATCGATAGACAGTAAGAGGCAGGAAACAGCTACTGTGCTTCTAGGGCTGGCTTCTGTGATCGCATACATGAGTTGCCGTTCAATTATTATTAGTGTAACAAGCTGCTGGCGTAACGGTGATACTACTGATGGGGGGCATGCGAGTAGTATGTTTTCTTCCTGTAAATTCGCTTTTCGTCTCTTGAAAGGGGAGATCTGTTGTAGAATCGCTTTGTGGCATTGGCTTGCATTTGAGCAAACGCCCAATGAATATTCCGGAAAGTCCAGGAAGACAAGTTCAAAGAGAGGATGGATATTCAGTTTTTGTAAACAAGATGTATTTGAGAGTTTTGCTTCCCTGTCCAACAGTCTGTAACAGTTCAGTTGCTACTTTCCAATAAATAACTCCGCAGCGAAGGTTTCCTTCTTTTCACAGGTACCTCGGCTAACCGTTGGTCAGGCAGCAGTTGGTCTGTTCGCCAAACCTGATAAACGTTCCGTCACCCACCCAAACATGAAATGTAGATGTCTCCTCGCATGATGATGAAGCATTTGTATGCCGGTTGCCATGCTCGGTGAAAAGATTAATATCATCTGATCAATACAGCTCCAATATGGACAATTCATATGTCGCAAGGGCTGAAACACATCAAGGGATTTGCTATCAGCAAAGCGAGTGATTCAAATGTGAAGAAAGCCTATGAGAGACCGGACTCAAATGGGATCACAATAAGTGATAATATTATCATCATCACCACCATCATCATCATCATCATCACCATCATCATCATCATCATCATCATCACCATTGGCAGTGACACTAGCGGAGAACAGTTGTGCTTTACTACCGCGCAAAAATATCCATTTACTGGAAAAAAAATGATTTAAACAAGGGAAAGAACCAGGAGAGGAAGGAGGCTAGTGCTGGCCCAGCTCAAGCATCCGAGTTGCGTAGACCAACATTACGTCAGGCAATCTGGATAGAAACCCATAGCGCGAAAGCTACCAATGTAACGGTGGACTCTACTGATGGGGCGTGCGAGTAGTATATTTTCTGGTAAATCCGCTTCCCGTCTATTGAAAAGTGAGAGCTATTACGGAATTTGTGGAGTCGCTTTGAAGCATTTATTTGGATTTAAGCAACAGTCAATGAATAGACAGAAAACTTCAGGCAGACGCGTTCAAGAGGATGAGGGCCATTCAGTTTTTGTGAACAACATGCATATGAGAGGTTCGCTCTCCTGTGCAATAGTCTGTAACTGTTCAGTTGGTTTTTCTCTTTTAAATAACTCTGCAGAGAGGTTAAGCGGTTAGCAATGATCTACCCGAAGTGCGAGACATCGTACCGTCAATCGTAGGACTTGCGAACTTCCGCAGCAGTGTGCACATTCGAGTTCCTCCAGTGTTTTATTGATCTGCGCATAAGGAATTCGAATTGGATCGGACCCCATCCGATCAGGTGAAATTCCTAACTCGTGCGGATATTCTGGTTCACATTCTTGTTACCTGTCGGGCATTTAATGGCTGAAAATTTGGAGAAGGCTTCTGAGGCGGCACTTCTGTACGGACAGCAACAAAGCAGCCTCTTTGCACCTTCTGATCCAAAGCACTAGTCAGACGGAAAATGTAGACAGTCTTGAAGAGACTAAAGTTTCAAAGGATTCCCTTGGGCGGAAGTTTTCACCATTGGCCATCCATATTCGCCCTGTCTTCAAAAAAACTGGCATTCTTGAACACCGAGCAACTCCGCTTATTGTCATCGCATATTCGAATGGCGTGTTTTGTTGATGCACTACTGAGGAGTAGTGCTCACAGGACCAGAAATCAACCCTTGAGGCTGATGTCCAATACAGCTGTTCGCAAACTACTTGTCACTTCATGTGCTTTACGGCCAGCTATATTGTTACTATAGTCTACTCTACATTATAAAAAGACTAGATAATGATGCCAGCAGCTGAGTAATGGACAAGCAAGTAGTGCCGTTACTTAGCGCCATACTGCCACGTCTAGGCCGACTGACGACCTGTGGTGGGCTTTCGCGTATGCGACCGGCGATCTTATCAGTCGCGTGCATGTCGGCGCCAAAAATTCTTGGTGGCGCACTCCCGATGCTGAGGCGCTTGTCATCTCGGCCGGTTATTCACATCGATCGTTAAGTTATTAGTATCACCTCACTCTGGCATCGTCCTGCAAACTATATGGAATAATTACCTAGGCGACTGAGCGAAATTGCGCGATTGTGAAAACTTCTGTTTTCCAACGCCATATTCGCATATCTAGTTTACATTTAGCACTGTCCGCAATGAATCGAGAACACACTAAAGACAAATCAGCTCGATGGTTTAACTACGACCGAATCAAGACCGATTCGCTTGGGGAAACCGTAGAAAACGGACTCCCTAGTCTTTGATTCGTGTGACTCAGTTTCGTGAAGACCAACCCCAATTAGGTCTCAGCTCTATTTATCCTGGTGGAAGGTTTTATTACCATCGCATTAAAACGTCCGTGAATGCACGAAATTCACGCAGAGTATGGAAAGTGAATAGAAAACAACCAGGATAATAGTGCATTACAATTATACATGTATCGCGCTATCTCGAATATCGTAGTAACTGAAACATGGGGCGGCCTGGTGCAGCTCATTCAGTTGCCTGGAGACATCACAAACGAGAGATTCATCTGAGTTCCAGGTGAGTCTCTCGAATCGAAAACAAATTAGTTTGTAAACAAATGTATATTCGCTAATTTCGTGCACTGGGTTTCAAGTAGAACATGACGTTGACGGAAACTCGGGGACTGCGCCTACCCGATGAGCCCCAAGAAGGGTGAAACCGGTCGAAGGCTGTCGACGAATTTTCAGCAACCTTATGAGTAGTGCATTACAACCCAGGATAGTCATTCTGTTTCCATAATTCTAACATTCAACAGAATGTCCATGCTATTTCGAAGGGAAATCAATACGGCGGTAGCAGGAACGTATAAATCTAAAGCACAACGTCAATTTTATCCCAAGGTCAATCAGTCGAAAGCTTCACAGAGCGATAAACCGGTGCACGGAAACTTTCGGCGTTTCGTAAATGCTAAGCAAGCCAACGATACCTATTAGAAACTTCTCCCAATGCAAATTTACCGGCATATCCTCGTCAAACGCTAGCTAGGATTTTCTAGCTGATGTGTCTGAGTGAAGCCTAGACTAATAATCTAGGGACCACTTGATCATCACTGGTCTGCATGCACTTGGAGATCGATTATGTGTGCGGCGATTTACTGAAACGTTTGTAAGTTTCGCGAATCAATGAGATCATATTAGCCCTAAACTGTTTTCTTTTTCTGTGAATTCAGTTTGTGTTTTCGAGCTACATCATTGTGCGTTCCAATCAATCAAGAAGCTAATTCACTGCTAACTGCAACGAAGCCTTTCACGTGCCCTCACGTGAAAGTGATCAGAATGAATACATGGTTTGGGCACACATTAACCGCTCGCATACGTCCGCCAGCGCCTCGTGACCTCGGTCGTTCATACTTGCAAGGGCTAATCGGCGCTTAGTTTCCCAATAGGTCTGTCACATAAGGCACCTATTCATCCAAAAGTGTTTTGTGTACACATGATACTTATACTACTCTGTTATGGAAGGTAGTTTCATTAGGCCATTTAGTGCAAACAGCGGATGTTCTGTTCATCGAACTTGGCTGTTGGATAGTAAACGTCTTCTAATCACTGGAGGTGACATCTCTTATTTGTGGCCATAAGCAGTTGCTCATCTTCCGTTTGTTTTATCATCCACAAATAAGTCTCTTGAGTTTTCTAAAGTGCTTGGACGTTTTACGTGAACCACACTAATTTCACACGTGTACAGTGGTTGTTCCCTGAATCGGGACCCAGAGACGGGACACATCAGTGTCAATGGCGCTCACGTGTCGAAGCTGTTCCCTGCACTGCTTAGCTCCCCTGTCGATCTTTCCAATGAAACGTCCATTGACAAAATTGTATTTGCACATTATTAGGGGAAGCAGCTCCTAACATAACTGCAATACAAAACCGCCAATGGAAAAAGCCCGTTTACGTTCAGATATATCTAATTGGTTGCCTCTCACTTGCCCTTGACAGATGAGTTCTATTTTTGGCCCGCTTTTGTTTTGCGGCCCGCTTTCGGCTGCACATGAGACGCGTCAGTGATCAATAGATCAGCTGATTTGCGCGTTCATTGACTTCCCAGCTTGGCTGAGCGCATCAGGCTACCAAGCGGCTATCCAGACTCGGGTTCACGGTGTCTAGAAAGCATTAAGAAGACCGTGGTTCACAACACAATTATATCAGCTTCCGCCTTCAATGCGTAGGGTCCAAGACCCTGTATTCGAGTGAAGGCTTGCTACTGTGAGAACCAAGAAGAAGACACTGATGTTCTTTACCACATTAGGTTCGAGCATATCAAACGTACACGACAGGAATGGCTGCTTGCAAATCGCCGAAGGG